ACAAGTCATTTTTTCGGGGGGGGGGGGAGTAATGATAAGGATCCAAGTCAGCTCAGCAGATCACTAATCACTTATCATCATAGAAAGAAGAGGAAGATAGTTGAAACTGATGCTGTCATGCATGTTTTAAGGGATTTATCTGATTTAAATTAATTATTGCTGTTATTTTAATTGTTATTCTGTTTTAAATATCAGTTGCTGAATAATAGGACCTCAAGGTTGTTAGGGAGGTTCCTACGAAGTAGTTCCTAATTTTTAGGCTAGTATCTTGCATTATTTGAATTATTTAGTTGTACTCTCTTATTTTAAATATCCTTGCTCCCATACATAGTAGGGTATGAGTTAAGAAATAAACCTGATCTTCCTTTGGAGATTCTCCTACTTGGCTGTTAAGTTATTTAGAGTGAGATTCTTGCTCTAGCTAAGTAGATTACTCTTTTTAATTCCTGCTGTTCTAAGTTCTTACCACGGTGCACCTTCTGTGGGGGGTACATCAGAAAGCTTTCCTTCCATAATGGTCACGCACAGGCTCAATGAAAACAACTACTTGTTGTGCTCCAGAAATATCCTCATGTTTATCAAAGGAAAGGGCAAGGAAAAATATTTGAATGGAGCAGCAAAAGAACCAGAACCTAGGAGGCTTCCTATGAAACGTGGATCACAGAAAATAGTATGGTTACGACTTGGCTTATTGGGTCTATGACTGCTGAAATTAGCAAGAATTATATGCTGGCAACCACAGCACAAGAGATTTGGTAATCAGCAAAGAGAACCTATGAAGTGAAGGAAAATACAGATGCTGTTTTCTAGATTAAAAGGCAGCTACGTGATCTCAATCAAGCAGACAAGACCATGACTCAGTACTACAATGCCTTGCTGAGGTTGTGGCAACAAATTGATATCTAAAAGATGCATCAATGGTCTTGCTCAGATGATACACTCTACTATAAGGGAGTAGTTGAGAAAGGATGAACATATAATTTTCTTCTTGGCCTAAATGATCGTTTTGAAGAAGTCAGGGATTGACTCAGGGGCATGAAACCTCTACTATCTCCTGAAGAAACTGCCAACATTGTTAAGTGTGAAGAAAGCCAGAAGAACCTCTTGCAGACCACTATGTCACCTTTCAATCATACAGATTCATCTGCAATGGTGTCAAGAAATAACCAACTGCAAGATCCAAAGAGCAAGCCATCCAAGTGGTGTGATCAATGCAACAAAGGTGGTCATACTAAAGATGTTTGTTGGAAACTCCATGGCCAACCACCAGGCAGTAGACAGAGGAAAGGGTGGGCGTGGTTTCATGGTGGATTCCAAATCAGAAAATATAGCCTTGAGCATATAAGAATTTTCAGTTCTCTGTAAGCTACTTGATAGGCATGAACCTACACAAAGTGAGAAAACTCCTTCTGTTTCTCTTGCTCAAGCAGGTATACCTCTCACAGCTGCTCCAGAGTGCTGTAAAAACTGATAACATTTGGATAGTTGATTCAGGTGCCACTTACCACATTTCTGGTTTTAGACATCTTTTTACTGATTTTAATACTAATACTCATCGTACCAGAGTTAAAATTGCTAATGACACGTGAAGGTGCTCGGTATGGGTATAGTAGTTTTGTCATATACCATGGTCCTTTATAATGTTCTTTATGTCTCTGACGTTCCATGCAATCTGCTGTCCGTTAAGAAAACTTCCGCCCAGCTATGCTGTGGTGTATATTTTACTAATGCAGAGTGCAATTTTCAGGACTTGAGCTTAGGAAAAATGATTGGCAATGCTAAGGAGTTGGGAGCCCTCTATAGAGGGAATATCAAATAAATGTGAGAGTGGTGAGATTTACTCTACAACTTCCAGCAATGAGTTGTTATGGCATTATAGGTTAGGCCACCCTAGTCTTAGCTGTATGAAGCATTTGTTTCCAAATCTCAACAACAACAACAACAACAACAACAACAAGCCTTTATCCCACTAGGTGGGGTCGGCTACATGGATTGCAAGACGCCATTGTGCTCTATCATTTATTAAGCTTTTAGAAATATTATTAATTAAGAGATCACATTCAACAACTTCCAAGAGTGTTCTCTTAGGCCTTCCTCTACCTCTCTTAATCGGACTCAAAGTTATATGTTCCACTCTTCTCACTGGTGCCTCCCTTGGTCTTCTTTGTACATGCCCAAACCATCTCAACCGATTTTCTACCATTTTTTCCTCAATAGCTGCCACCCTCACTTTTTCACGTATGTGCTCATTTCGAATTTTATCTTTACGTGTATGTCCGCACATCCATCGTAACATTCTCATCTCTGCTACTCCAACTTTATGCTCTTGCTGTCCCGTTAGAGCCCAGCATTCACTACTATATAACATTGCCGGTCTGATAGCAGTACGATAAAACTTTCCTTTAAATTTATTAGGCACCTTACGGTCACAAATAACTCCTTTAGCTTTTCTCCAATTAAACCACCCAGCTTGAATTCTATGTGAAATATCTCCACTGATTTCGCCATCATTTTGGATAATGGCTCCCAAATATCTAAACTTTTCCACTTGAGGTATAATTTGATCTCCCAATTTCACTTCCAAATTATTTTCGAATAGTCCTTTATCAAATTTACAATATAAATATTCCGTCTTACTTCTACTCAGACGAAAACCTTTCAACTCCAATGTCCTCCTCCATAACTCAAGTTTGCAATTAACCTCTTCTCTTGTCTCTGCTATAAGAACTATATCATCCGCGAAGAGCATACATTTCGGGATTTCCTTTTGAATATGTTCCGTCAAAACATTTAAAATCAAGTTGAACAAATAAGGACTCAGAGATGATCCCTGATGTAGCCCAATCTTTATAGGAAAATCCTTTGTTTGACCACTAGGCGTTCTTATACTAGTTTTTACCCCCTCATACATATCTTGTATGGCTTTAATATAAGCAATCCGTACTCCCTTTTTTCCAACGCTTTCCAAAGCACTTCTCTTGGTATACGGTCATAAGCTTTTTCCAAATCAATAAAAACCATGTGTAGATCTTTATCTTTACAACGATACTTTTCCATTAATCCCCTTAGTAGATAAATCGCCTCTGTAGTTGATCTACCTGGCATAAAACCAAATTGATTCTCAGAAATACTTGTCTCCAATCTCAACCTGTGCTCAATTACTTTCTCCCACAATTTCATTGTGTGGCTCATGAGTTTAATCCCTCTATAGTTAGTACAATTCTGAATATCTCCTTTATTTTTATAAATAGGAATTAATGTACTTCTCCTCCACTCATCAGGCATTTTCTTGGACCGTAAAATCACATTAAATAACTTAGTTAACCATCTCACCCCTTCTTCACCTAAACATTTCCACGCTTCGATAGATATACAATCAGGTCCGTTCGCTCTACCAGGTCCGTTCGCTCTACCATGTTTCCAAATCTCATTGACAATAAAATAAATTTCTCCTTCGATTGTGAATTCTGTCAATAAGAGTGAAAGAGTGGAACATATAACTTTGAATCCGATTAAGAGAGGTAGAGGAAGGCCTAAGAGAACACTCTTGGAACTTATTGAACACGATCTCTTAATTAATAATATTCCTAAAAGCTTAATAAATGATAGAGCACAATGGCGTCTTGCAATCCATGTAGCCGACCCCACCTAGTGGGATAAAGGCTTGTTGTTGTTTGTTGTTGTTGTTGATTGTGAATTCTGTCAATTAGCCAAACACACCAAAGCATCTTACATCCCTTCTCCATATGCACCAATTCATCCCTTTGCCTTGATTCATAGCAATATTTGGGCTACCTCTAAAATTTGTTCATAGTCTAAAGCCAGATGGTTCATTACATTTATTGATGATCACACTCAACTGGCATGGGTATATTTTAATAAAAGATAAATCTGAGTTTTTCATATCTTCAAGAAATTTTACATTTTCATCAAGACTCAATTTCAAACTGATATTGAAATTTACCAAATATAAATCAAAAGATTAAAGGACAGCCTTGTAGAAGAATTTGAAATTGGAGACCTCAGGAGTCTCATAAATTTTCTTGGTCTAGAATTTGGAAGATCGAGTAAGGGGATCAGTGTCTCACAAAAGAAAGTACACCATTGATTTACCGAAGGATACAGGAATGCTGAGAGCAAGACCAACTGATACCCTTATGGAAGCAAACTACAAAACAGAGTTTAGAAAGGAAGAAACCACCTTCAGTAGATAAAGGAAGATGTGGAGATATTGATTCCCACAAAAGATATCAGAGATTAGTTGGGAGACTCATTTGTTTATCCCCACACTAGACCAGATATCAGCTTTACAATAGGTGTTGTGAGTCAATTTTGTGGCATTATGGTTCGGAGAATATCTCAATCAATTTCATTCACAGGGCTGAAGCATATATACAGTTTATAAGATTTCCTACATAGGAAATAAAATCAAATAAAAATAAAACAGTAACTCCCATGATCCGATCTCATTATATCCCTATCTTAAAGGAGTAAATCCCTCTACAGTAAATATTAATTTAACTATTCTCGCACTCCCCCTCATGTCCATCTTCCACCTTCTCTCTCTAATGAAGTGTCTATCTATTTGAAAAAATATAGATAAATAATGGGAAGCATGAAGGTGAAAGAGTAGTCCTTATATAAAGTAACAGAGTTCAAGAGAACAAAGTCAGCCCTCATCGCCCAAGCCAATGCATAGAGTTGGGGTGGGGGGGTTGGGTATGCAAAGGAGGGGGCAAGGCTATATGAGAGCATGTGAGGGTTGCGAATTAACTTTGTAATTTATTAGCTCATGCCTCGTAGTATTTCTTTACAAGTAGCCAGTTTCTATATCCAGTCGGTTATCCGGTTTTAGAAAGTTCCAAATCAAACTAGATGACAATTCACCAATTTTCCAGTTGAACTAGCTCACAGTTCATTCCAATTTTCATAACACTGGAAACCAAATTGGTAAATCCCAAATAAGATTAACAGATTAAGAAAGAGAAAAGTGGGGCCACCTGCATATTTATTCCAGCAGAATCACAGTAGTACAAACCATCTGCAATACCTTCTTGAACATCAACCTCTGGAATGAGAACCTCATTGGCAGTAGTATTTACTTTACCTTTGTTCAAGATTGCCTTTAAAAGTGTAGTTTTACCAGAACCCTGCACTCAACTAATGCAAGTCAAGAGGCGAATAGTGAAATGAAATAGATCAATAGATCCTGGAAAAAGTTTATTTATACCTCTAGGCCAACTAACCGGACCCTACGAGTTCTGACATGAACCTCTTTACAGACCGTGGTAAAATCACTGGTGCAGAATATTGAAAAATTATTCAAACTCTCAGGACGGATTGATTTCTCCTTCTCAACAGGCCCTGAAGTATGTTCTCCAACAAGACAGTCTGGCTCTGAATTTATAGAAGGAAAAACAGGCATCAAGGAGTCTAACACTGTTAGATGCTTTGGTGGACTTCGTAGCGGAGGACCGACTAATACTCTCATCTTCTGTAAGTCAGGTTGATTTCCATGATTTGAAGAATATTTTGGAGCAGAAGGAAAGGATTCAACTGTAGTTGAACACCTATTCAAGAATGAAAAAACACACATAACATAACTATAGGTTGACATAGCTTATTTTCTATGAAGTAATAAGAAACAGAAACTCTAGAAAAGGCAGCATTTTATATGAAAATGCATCTAATCAAGCACTCTATATTAATATTATAACTTCGTACAGCACACCCCAGAAAAAAATAATATTATCCACAAGTACAGTAAGAAAGCAGCCAACGTTTAACAGATGAAATACGTTGGCAAACTACTACCTAGACTTCTTGATGACTTCAAAGACCACACTAGTAAAGCATCCAAAATCAGTAGTCCAATTATACTATATGTGACTAGGTGACAGATATTTGACTAACTGTTTTCCCTCTTATTTGATGGTCCTATCAATCACAACAGCACAAGAACCACTGCTTCTATGAACACATTAATCATTTCTGACTTCAAATTCTCAGAAAAATTGCCCCAGCTAAGACATCAAAGTTTGAAGTCTAAGAGGATACTTTTAAGCCACTACTTTCCAGTTTTATCCATCTTAAGGGCTAGTTATCATCCTCCTCAAGCTTTTCTCATAGATCTCTTGTTTTTGTTACAAGACCTAATTGTTTCTCGTTGTCTACCACTTGCTATCAAATTTATTCATTGCAATCACTATGTCTAAGTCCTTAGTCCACTGACTTCCTTCAAGTCCCACTAAAAACAAAATATCTGAGCAAGAAAACTCACCAAAACTCAATAAATGTAAATGTTTATTTGTTGTTTATTACAGGGAAATGACAGTACCAGTTACCATTCACTTGCGCATGGACAAGTGAACATAAATGCAACCCAAAACCAGTAATGTCAACTTTCAGAGGTTCTGCATTTTTTGAACCAGGCACATCATTCCATCCCAGGGGAACAATTGAAGTTGCAGTATGAATAACTGGAGACTCCACTATATGGCCAAGTTCAACAGTCCCAGCAATTGCAAGGCCAAGCCATTGCTGTAGATGAGGTAACTGTTGCCATTGCTCAATTCCCAGGAAAGATGATGCATTGTCACTCATGCACAAGTCAAAGATTCTGCAACCAAAAGAGGGGAAAGGAGATAGAACAATAGTTACAAATTCTGAAATTTGAAAACTAATGTTGCAGAAGTGCTTTATCAGAAGCTACAAAGACAAAAAGCCTAGAAATTCAAGCTTCAAGCATGCCTTGGTAAAAATCTATCCAAACAGATAAAGACCGATTAGGTAGGAAATAATTAGCTTTTATGAAATTGTAAAAGGATAGCTTATGATTATAGAGATTAAAATTAGTCACACATGGCTTAGACATTTCACTTTATAAGCATAAACATAAATGTAGTTTCCAAGATTCTAAACAGTGGAACACTGAAATCCTATCTGAATTGGACTCTTAAAAAACAAATCTTCCAAGCAGTTAATCTTCTTAATAAAAGACACCATGGATTCCTGATAATTCAGGAACATAAATTCCGTGCAGGGTTTGTCCAGTAAAAATCCAGCCCCACAAATAAAAGCCAAAATTTCCAAAATCTGAAAACACATTAAAGACAATTACAGATGTGCTGTACCCCTTCCTTCCCACACGTCAAGATGTGTTCCATCCAATATCTTTTCATCTATTGAAAAGAGTTTATTCTCTATAATACCTTGGTTTGGTTGGTAAAACTAAATACATTGAACAAACCTCATTAAGAAATTTATTTTTATCAGAATGTAATGGAAGAGGTTTGATTACCAAGTATGGAGAAATGGAAGAACTTGTGTGGACTGAAGGACTGGTATCTGAAATTAGATAACTTTAAATCGGGCTGGACTCAATTCACTTAAAGGCAGAAATCATGGCATAATTATGGCTCATATTTAACTTATTCTTTTCCACCATAAACAATGAAAGTCAACACAGAAAAGGCAGGGGATACATATTCATCATTTTATTTTGTTCCCCTCAGCAATAGCACTAGAGTTCTATATCCAAACGAAAAATCTTAGGAGACTAAGGAACATGTAGCTCATTCACACACAGTACCAATGGCTTGCTTGAGATGCATAATACATGAAATATGACATGCAATGATTCACTGCTGCATGCCGTAGCTTGTGGAAAATATTTTTGCTACTAATAGGATATTCCACCAATTGGATAATATTGATTAATTTTTATTTATCCATGCATGGAAGTATCTTAGGGTGCAAGCATTGAGAATTTAAGATGCCATGAAACAAATTTAGCTGTAAATTATTATTACAAATAACCAGACAATTTATAACAATTCATGAGGGTAATTAAGTATAACTTATCTCTTATAGCGGAAAATACTAATATTTACAATTACAATAATTACCTTTGAAATCGAGACCGGTATGACTTCATTGAATGCGACTGGAATCTTTCCTTCAATTCCGCAATAACAGATCCAACCTGAAAATGTCTTTGCCGGAAGAAAGCAAACAAAATGAGAGAACTTGCTCCTTTATTCATGAATATGAAGTTGGATTCCTTAAACAATTGTAGATGTTTTAGGACCTAAAGACAGGACAAATAAACTACACAAAAAACAGATAAGCAAGGAAGCTCATACCGATGTTAACTTTGAGTATTCTGCACTTGATAGTGTCTCTACTGAAGAGTTTTCCAACAAATAGAGCTGTTTTACACAAAAAAGGTTCAGATGGATGCATTGTTCCATAAAAAGGAAACAACAGCATGGCTAGCACAAAAAAATAAACTAAAGATCGTTCATTAATTGAGGAAAAAACACAAAAGATTGTAGACGTTATACTGAAGATGATACCTGCCCAAATGGCACATATGAAGGCAAATATGGCACACTGCGCCATGCCCTTTTATCTCCAGTGATAGTATTGCTCTTGGTGTCCGTTTTCTCATTTGCTGTTGCCTCCATTGCATGTTTATCAGAGTTGGGAAGTGGCTTAAGTGATATACTATCAGAACCCTCTTGTATTTCAAGAGACTGTGGTTCAAGCACTTCCTCCTCAATTAAAGTAGAGGCAAGAGAATCAGGCACTGAAGTTGATTCAATAGAACTAGCTTGGCTTTCTTGGTATTTAGTCAGTTGTCTTCTCAATCGTTCCATAGGAACTAGTCTAGAAAGTCGCCAGAAGGATCTCTGCACAGGACCCATCCCCAAAACCAACCGCTCTCTTCCATTCTCTTTATCTTTTTCTACCCCTTGCTCATTTGTCTTTAATGACAAGCTATTACTTTCATTTTCAGGGGGCGCCAACTGAGGCTGAGCATTATAATGATGAAAATAAGCTGGAGACAAAATACGGGGAACCAGATCCTCTGGGATACAGTAACTCTTGAAATAATGCTGCCAGCCTTTTCTATTAACGTAACTAGAAAGAGAGGAGAAATTAAGATATGTATAAATTTATAAGTGGTTCAAGTTCAATTAAAGGAGTGGAACTTAAACAATAAAGAAAAGAGTGGGGGAGGGGGCAAATACAAGAAATACATACTCCTTCAGAGCAGCATTTCCAACAGGAGGCTGAGAAAATGTTATACATTTGATAGAGACCTTCTCATTCTCCTTTGACGGAGATGTAGCAGCAATCACCCTCAGAATGGCAAGGGTGGCTAATACAGCTACCTATGTAGAAACAAGGGACTAAGCATATGAAAACTTCTGTACATAAAGCATTGTAGTTAAATCAAGGTGGGTGAAGAAACATACAGCTCCACCAAGTGAATGGCCGCATAAAACAAGTTTGCGTTTTTTCTTCTGAGCAAGCCTATACAATTCCAAAGCAGGTATTCCTTTAGCACGAGCCATAAAACCCTAAAAAATCATACCAGAGGCGATTATTAGAAACAAGAGATACATGAAATCAAGAATTTAGGATTACAGTGGCCATGTATATTACTGAAATTTATCTGACCAATCACTTAATAACTTACTTCCTAGATTGAAATATGATGCATCTAATAAGATAATTAAAATGTTAAGTCGTTCACAAATTAAGAAATCCGTGATGCTTGAACTGCAAACTAATTAATGCAGAAAAATCAGTAAACAAATTGAAGACATTCACAATAGAAAGCAGTCATATTTACCCGATGAGCAGCAGGCAGTGATTTACTCCTCAACTGTTTAGACCTAGATTCTAGGGGCCACATAGTCTCCACTTTACCGTTTTGGTTTCCACCCTGGTCAAGTTCAGTTTCTGCATGGCCTTCAGTTTCCTCAACAGCATCCTCATGAAAGATTGCACCTTGAAGTATATTGGCATCAGCAATAACATCCCTTTCAAGAAAGAGATAAACAAATGTAATATTCTTGAATATATTCCTGAAGTTATAATGCCTTAAGAGGATGACATAGAAGATTGTCTTAAGAAAGTACCCACTTGTACTGTTTTGTTCCAATAAAGGAAGCGAATAAGGTGTCTCCAGCCTCAGCCAATAAATACCTGTTACCACATAATCAATCAATAGCTCTTTGTAAAATTAATAGATATCAAGCTTTAAACATGAATAATCTTCAATAGTTACACTGATAAAACATGTAAGCATATGTACATCTTAGTAGAAAAACCCTACCAACTAAACTGCAAAGAAAATGAATGCTATTAAATAAATATTTCTCTTAAAAATTGTGAGCTCTCAAGGATTTCCCATCTTAGAATGTAAAGGAAACTATTAAAATCATCTGAATTAAAGGCTATTCTAAAATGACAACAGTGAAAGGTTTCCATGTATTGGTATTAAATGGCACATGCACAATTGATAAAGCACAGCAGAGAATTCAGAAGCAATAAATAAAAAAAATACAATTTCACAAAATTAAATAATATTAAGAACGGCAAACCTATGAGGAACATGATCTGATGATGGTTGTACCCGTTCCAAAGAAACAACTTGTCCACCAAAATCAGCCTTGAATTTATTTACAGCTCGAATCAACTCTGTAGCAGGTCTCTATGATACAAGGAAAGGTAAACATATCAGTACTAGTAATTCAGATATCATAGTTAAGCTAAGAGATAATCAGGAAATGCTCAGATAAACACTCATTAAGGTTTCAAAGTGGTCACAAGCATTTGTAAGAAGAGAACATCTGATTCAAGCAATTCTCAGATCTTAGCTAAGTAATAAATATCATTGACTTTTGGTCAGAGGGATTGGAACCAACAGAATCAAATGAAATGTTAATGCTTGTTGTTTTAATTATTGATTGACTTTTTCACCCTCTTTTCTTTTTAGCATTACAATTTATTCTCCAGCAAACTTTTAGTTAATGTCTTTTTTATGGTATCTTCATGATTTAAAGTTCAAACATGTAATATTAGCAATGAAAATTGCAGGTGTCCAAACTTTCTTTGTTTAAGGATTAAGACGAGGAAGTGTGAGAATTTACATTATATGTTGGTCAATTTGAAATTAAATAAGGTTATTATTTTTTCTAGAATAGGCCAGACGCTTTAGGTGCTATACATTGTAAGTTGGAGTTACAAATGGATTTGTTTTCAGCATTTGAATTAAACGTTGAGAAGAAATGTCATGATGCAAATTGGAGGTTCATCCTATTCTAAGTAAAAAGACTATGCTGTAATTTGCATCTATAGTACTTGCAATTCCATTTACTTTTAATTAAACTCATAAATGAGGGTGATAAACATTTCTTCACTTCCCTTATTAAACTTCCAAACAGTAGGAGGTAAGTCTATTCCATTCCTTCTCTTATTTTTCCATTCCAATCCATTTTCTAAAAAGTAATTCTAATAGAACTTTAGTTCAAAGGTTAGTTCAATGAAATAGAAAAAACCCTAAAGCAACACTAACTTAAAGAATGTCTATATTCTCTTGATTGCAGTCCTAGCTATAACAAGGAAACGTAAGAGGCATTATCTAAACCTAAGAGTGGCAATTTTTCCTGACAGAAGGCTCAGAGTAACATATTATGTTCATGAACGGGTAAAACCATGCATACTACCTCCATTTTACTCCATGATCTTTACTGCTCTAATGCTGGCTAGTATAGTCATAGTTCTGAAAATATATCTTAAAATGCCAAGAAAATAAAATGATACTACTCTTAGCCTCCGTACATTTCCATATTTGTTTTTAAAATGAGCAGATTCACACATTTTTACAATGTATAACTTCACATGATGGCAGAATAAATATCATTGAAGCAGATCATATACAATTACAATTTACAGGTGCAATGAATTGCAGCAGCTGAGCCCAATAAAATTTCAGGCGACCAGACGGTGTGTGATGAAAGACAATAAGGGACACAGGCAGAAAATTGATTTTTCCCCCTTTGTTTCAGTGTCATGAATTCCAAATTATAATCCCACCACTCTACCAAAAGTAATAATAATAATAATAATAATCCCACCACTAGTGCCTTGTCCCTTTGGATGTCCAACATTTAAGATAATAAAATATCTAGAGTAGGTAAATGACTGGTTTCCATCCTTAAATTGGAGCAAATATACCTTCTTCTTTTTTTAAGTCATATTATAGTTGGTTTTCCCTTTCGGTAATATATAGTTGGTTAATTATGCACCTGAGACTTCAAATTATATTTTAAACAAACACTCCCGCTTTATAATGTTGCTTCCTGCGCTGGCAGTGATAAAATTCCAGAATTTGAACACAACACAACAATATATGACTGTCAAACAGTGAAGCTCTGACACCTCAAAAAAGGCGTCATGTCTGCGTCCAAGAAGCTTTTTACAAGACACAGCAACAAACATTCTACACTTGGGGCACTCCTCATGGCGCAGTGTCTCCGTCCTTGCTTCTTAATGGTCAAACTTACAAGCAAAAAGTATTCTTGCAGAAATAACAGAAGTTTCCACAGACAGTAAAATATCAAATGCATTTCCATATAATCCCATATTCCCGTAGCTAAGCACAACCTCCTCTTATCGTCAATGTGACATAAACAAACAAACTTATCGTGTAATATACAAACACGCATCCTGTAATTTCACTTTTACCACTTCTTTGTAATCCAAGAACAAAATTGTATACACAATTGACGTATTTTAACATTGGATTTCTTAAAAAATTAAAAACTTATAACTCTCTCAGAGGTGAATTCCAGTTCAACCAGTAAAATACCTTGTAAACGCACTCAGAGAGAACCATGCAACCGAGAATTTCCTGCAACTCGGAGACTGACTCGGCCTTGATAGCATGGCAGAGATCCTGAAGTTGCTTCCTCCTTCGCTCGTACTCTTCCTGAATCTTCTTCTTCTGCTCCCGCTCGTTGCTCCACGGCCACTTCATCCGCCATTGCAGTGGGCCCCATGAGACCTTCAATAGCTTGGCTCGCTGATCTCTGATCCACGGTTCCACTCGGCTCTGGATGAACTCCATGAAATGGACGTTCAGGATCGGAATCTCGAAACGTGATTGGATTAAACAGAATTCAGAAGAGAACGAAGATTTTCTTTGTTTAATCTCTCTTCTAATGCAACCAGAGAAACGGCATCTTCCTCTCTATTACGCGGAAAGAATATCCGGCCATGTACTCATCAGTCATCAGTCCCTCGCTTGCTCACACCAATCTTCTTGGCACTATGTTGGCTTTTAAGTAATTATATATATTTTTTATTTTTTCGTTGGGAGAATATCTATGAATTTAATAATTAATCTATAATTGGATTGATGGTGTGCTTGTTAAAATAATAATTGCATTTGTTAATAGTTAATGTTTTTAATTAGAAGTGCTTGTACAACTGCATTGTGCTGGTTTAACATTCTAAAATATAATATATTTTGATAAAAATAAAATTTTATTAATATTACTTTATTTTTTTGATATTTTTTGCAAATAAAATATTAAATAAATGATATTTTTTAAAATTTATATTTTTTATTTTAAAAAATTAAGGTTACGAAGTATTTATTAATATGTGTGATTTATAAAATATTTTATGGTGGAATTAAATTCTGGGTACTTCAATGATATTCTCTATTTTTTATTCAATTTTAATTTAATATTAAATGTTACAAACTTCAAAGTCATATATAATTAAAATATTGGATACGAAATTGAATTCCTTTGACCCATGATTAAATTTGCTAATTTATACAAGCTGTGTCAAAAGCATGAAGTATATTGAAAGATGCATATCTAGCATGGAAAGTATAACATAATTTGAACTTTGCAATTTTAATTTTAATTTAATATTAAACGTTTCAAAGTCATATTTATAATTAAAATACTGCATCGAAAATTGAATTCCATTGACCGACAGATTATTAAATTTGTTAACACTGGCATGTTATTGTTTATTATTATTTTAGTACAATTTTTTGCAATCTTATATATAAGTTATTTTTAACTACTCCTCATAATATAAAAAAATGTAGTTAAATTATTGATGTTGTTTTGAAAAGAATGAAACATTTTATTTTTTTTATTAGATGCATCATTTTTAAAATGACTTCTCTCACATGTACAGCATTTTACTTTATTTATTGAAAATTATGAAAGGATAAAATTGAAAGAACATAATTAATGATTTATAGTTTTATGCAAGATCATTTATAAAAAAAATGATTAATTCTTTCTAGAGTGTGACTTATATATAGGATGAGAATGATTATTTATATAAGGATTTTCTTGTTTTGAGGAATGTAAGACTTCTTTTTTACGTCCAATAAATTAACAATATTGAATCATTCATTGACATGTGTTAACTTTTAAAATTTTATTTATTTTATCACATTTTCTTTATATTCTAATATATTTACTTCAATTATATATATTTTAATTACCCAAATTAAAAAAATATATATTTTGCTTTGGGTTTGCATACGTGAATTTAATTTGATATTTTTAGGCTCAATTTGTGTTATTTTAATTTAAAGTTTAATTAGATGTATTTTGGGCCTTTGTTGATATTTTTGGATGAAGAAATTAAGTGTATAGAGTATAAGTTTCGTTAACAGTAAAAATAGTGTAAAATTGTTAAAGTCATACTAAAGTCACAACTTTTGTTTACAACTTTTGCCACTATCAGCAAAATGCTACATTTTATTTATCTAAAAATGCTTGAATAAGATATATATGTGTGTGTATATATATATATGTTGAGAGCTCAATCTAGAATACATTCCACTCACTTTGAGACACATTTGAAGTTTGGTTATACTAGGGTTTAAGTATTGAAAGAGCTTGGAGCAAGAGATTAGAGTTTTGAACATTTAGAGCTCATTTTCTTTGATTTTTCAATTCCGACCCTTTCCTCTTATGTAATTTGAAATGGATTCAAGTATTTTGTATATTCGTAACTTATGGATGATTATGAGTAACTAAACATTTTATTCTAGGATTATTTGAAACCCCTGTGATTATTTGAATTAATACTAAGTTCCTCATCTCTTTTTATGATTAATGATGTGTGCATGCGTGTGCGTATTTATTTTACTCTTTTCTTAATCTATCTAAATGTTTGGCCACCATTTAGATATTGGGTTTACTTGATTGATGTTTGAAAGGGCTAAGTTAAGTGTAGAATTTGGGTAAAATAGTGCAAGAACTTAAAGTTTACTTGTTGAATTGATGGTTTTGTTTGTAAGGTAAATATATATTTGTTACCTTACAGAGCCACATTAGAGTTGGAGTTTAAAATTAAGTTTTAATAATTGTAACAAGAAATTGGATAATTAATTTAACAAAATATTTGTTCATGACTTAAAAGAACTTGTCCAAATATTTTTAAAATTTTATGTTAGCAGTTATTTTTATTAAAAGCATTTATAGAGAAGGTAATTTTTGTGTTATGAAATAAAAGGAAGATAAATAATCATATGTTTCAATTTGTGCTTGAAGTTTGTGAATCATTCTCTTTTTTTAATTTTTTAATACTAATTTAGTTTGCAAAATTAACTTTATCTCATTGTGTTTAGTTCAACTTGGTTGAATTCAGTTATTTTTTTTTTGTTTGTTTGATTGTTGTTTTCAAACCAATCTCTGTGGGAACAATGTTTCTCATTATATTACTTGTTACGGCCCATGCAACATACATATATGTGTGTGTATCTCTGTTTTTTTTATAGAGAAAGGTTAGATTGAGAGTTAAAAACAAAAAAAATTAAAAGGCACCTTAATGGAGTTTTGCTTTTGCTATGTAAATCCAGTCCGATAATATATCCCATTGGTAAGGTAGGAAATAATGGTAAACTTGTGGGAAAGTAATGATGTTAACCTTTTTTGTTTAGCTAAATAAAAGTCTTCATTTGTTTGGAAATTAAGCCTCGTTTTCTCCAAAAAATAAGACAATACTTACCAAGAAAAAAAAAACATAAATAGCTTCTTATTTTTTAGTATTTATTATAAATCTTCAAACTTGCTATAAAAATTATAAAATAAAATTTAACTAAAATAAAATCTTTGTTTTTAGCATTAAAAAGTACTATATTTATTAAAAAATGAGCTTAGATTTTCTGTTGACAAAAAAAAAAGAAAACAAAAAATCAACTGCAAACTACTTTTCAAGAAATATATTTATAAAATTTTAACTCTAGTAAGTAGAACCAAGCCACCCTTATATTATTTAAAAATCTTAAATAGAGTCAATTATTTTTCAAAATATATGGAAACATTAAAGGGAGTTCACCTGTTTATAACATTTACATGTCATATTCAAGTGCGTTTGGATTAACTAAGATTTAAATGGATTAACTAAGATTTGTATTTAAATCAAATTCTTCATTTAAATATACAAAAATTTATAAATTTAGATTTAATCTAAATCCACTTCTTATTATATTTATTTTGTAATTTTAAATTTCTTTTACACCCTAATTATTTTAAATTCAAGTTATTCCAAACCTCTCACTTTCTTCATGTTTTTATTATTGAGGCCTCATGATTCTTATATTTTCTTGTATTTCATTCTCATCTCTCATTGATTAAAAAATATGAATAAACTCATTACTTCCAATTTTTCATTTCAAATCTCAACTCATCTCTCTATTTTATTTGAAATTTTTTAAACTACACAAACAAAGGCTTTGGAATACATGAAATTTAAATGTGCTATTTCAAATCTAAAATTCAAATCCAAATCTACCCATTCAAAACCTATGTATTTAAAAGTCTTTCTTTGAATAGTATAAAAAATTTTGAAGGTAAAAAAAAGAGTTAAAATTTAAAGTAAAAACAAAATATTGAAATTGAAAAGATTACCTCAATATTTCAATTGGTAAAAGATGAGAATGAGATATGAGAAGAGAGACTAAAGTAATAGAAACATTATAATGAAAAACATGAAGAAAATGACAAGATTTGAGTAACTAAAATTTCAAAAAATATAGTCTAGAGAAAAATTGAAATTTCAAAGATAGATTTGACTGTTATAATAAAACATGGATTTGAAAATTCAAATCTATAAACTGTTATGTATTCAAGTAGAGGATTTTATTCAAATTCAAATCTTCAAGCATCCAAACACAACATTATTTTTTCTTCTTTTATTTGCTTTTATGAATTTTATGTTGAAAGGGGGTCTTCATTCTTTTTTCTGAGTTTGAAAAATAAGTTGCTATAAAAGTTCCTAAGTTGTTAAAAGGGGTTCCTATACTTTCTCTTTATCATATAAATAGGATTAAAGGAGTATCAACTTGAAAGAGAGAAAGAAAAACATAACTTTAGATACCTGTATTTTGCTAGAGTTTTACTATAGGTCCATATACTTTTTTTTGTTGTAGGTTCCTATAACACCACTCATAAAGAGATCTAGAATATGAAAAAATAAAAGTGAAGAAAACTAACACCCACAAAAAAAAACATACAAGTACCTATAGCAAAAGTTAAGTAAAGAATAATGACCAAAAATTATATTTTCTTAAAGAAAAATATGTAACTATAGCAGGTAGAACTACCATCATCAAGTCTGTCAACTAGTCGCACTACCTAATTATTTCATATAGACTATGCTTCTTCCAAAGAAGTTGAAAGAGGAGCTGGATAGAACTTGCCACAATCTTGATTTTTCTTTGAAACTCACTTATCAACATAACAAACCACAACTTGTTTCCTGGGAAGAGAGTGCTTAGAAAGAAAAATGATGGTGGGACTGTAGTTGAAAAATCTACTTCCACTAAATAAAGCATATATCATGAAGTCATATATGTTGGAATTTGCTAGCCAGATAACAGAAGTATAAAACAGGAGAACCCCTCACAAACGTGGCGAAGTATTTGTGATGTTTGGAAGGAGTTTATGAAAGGAGTATGTTTGAATATTGCTGAGGGAGACAAAGCTTCTTTTTGGATGCCATAAATAAGCCTTTAATTCCGGGCAATGATGGTATAAATGATTTCAGGAGCTACAAGTGGAGAATTGAGTCACCGTCATATGATTTTTCTATAATTAGTTACAATTTTTCAAAGTTGGTCAAAAATCTTAAAGTAACTAAATGAATAGTAACATGAAGGTAGTTTCAAGAGAGCAAAATTTTAATTAGTTCAAGTTTTCAATTGCTCTTGTAAAGACTCCAAAAGGCCCTTAAGAGGTTAAGGAGAAGTGAAAAAAGAGAGAGGATATTATGGCTTGACTTA